GTCTCAATGTCATACTGAACCACCAGTTTCTAGATGTTAGTCATGTCTCAATGTCATACTGAACAACCAGTTTCTAGATGTTAGTCTTGTCTCAATGTCATACTGAACCACCAGTTTCTAGATGTTAGTCGTGTCTCAGTGTCATACTGAACCACCAGTTTCTAGATGTTAGTCGTGTCTCAGTGTCGTACTGTACCACCAGTTTCTAGATGTTAGTCATATCTCAATGTCGTACTGTACCACTAGTTTCTAGATGTTTGTCTTGTCTCAGTGTCCTACTGAACCACCAGTTTCTAGATGTTAGTCAATACCTCAATGTCGTACTGTACCACTAGTTTCTAGATGTTTGTCTTGTCTCAGTGTCATACTGAACCACCAGTTTCTAGATGTTTGTCTTGTCTCAGTGTCATACTGAACCACCAGTTTCTAGATGTTTGTCTTGTCTCAGTGTCATACTGAACCACAAGTTTCTAGATGTTTGTCTTGTCTCAGTGTCCTACTGAACCACCAGTTTCTAGATGTTAGTCTTGTCTCAGTGTCCTACTGAACCACCAGTTTCTAGATGTTAGTCGTGTCTCAGTGTCATACCGTACCACCAGTTTCTAGATGTTAGTCATGTCTCAGTGTCGTACTGAACCACCAGTTTCTAGATGTTAGTCGTGTCTCAGTGTCGTACTGAACCACCAGTTTCTAGATGTTAGTCATGTCTCAATGTCGTACTGAACCACTAGTTTGTAGGTGTTTGTCTTGTCTCAATGTCGTACTGTACCACAAGTTTCTAGATGTTAGTCTTGTCTCAATGTCATACTGTACCACTAGTTTGTAGGTGTTTGTCTTGTCTCAATGTTGTACTGAACCACAAGTTTCTAGATGTTAGTCATGTCTCAATGTCATACTGAACCACTAGTTTGTAGGTGTTTGTCTTGTCTCAATATCATACTGAACCACCAGTTTCTAGATGTTAGTCATGTCTCAGTATCATACTGCACCACCAGTTTCTAGGTGTTAGTCATGTCTCAGTATCATACGGCACCACCAGTTTATAGGTGTTGATATCTTGTAGTATAATATGTATACATTGTGATAATAGTACAAAGAATGAAGTGTTTTAGATGTACAATGAAACTTGTAAATTATTTTCTGTAAATTTCTTCACTATTCAGTTTCATTAGACACTTTTCTTCCCTTGTGAGATTGTTTACTTTTATGCTCCCACAGGAAGACCTAGTAGCTATTTCTGAAGAACTGGCACAACTTTATCATTACGTTTGTTTGGTAAATGGTGAAACCCCAAGCCGAGTCATGCTCGACCATGCCAAGGGATGTCAACATGTTGGTGAGTCTTCTCTACACTTTCTATACATCATGGTTACTACAAACAAAGGTGAGAGTGAACTCCTCTCGTGTCTAAAAAAGTGAGAGTGAACTCCTCTCGTGTCTAAAAAGGTGAGAGTGAACTCCTCTCGTGACTAAAAGGTGAGAGTGAACTCCTCTCGTGTCTAAAAAAGTGAGAGTGAACTCCTCTAGTGTCTAAAAAGGTGAGAGTGAATTCCTCTAGTGACCATAAAGGTGAGAGTGAATTCCTCTAGTGTCTAAAAAGGTGAGAGTGAATTCCACTAGTGTCCATAAAGGTGAGAGTGAACTCTTCTGACATCAATAAAGGTGAGAGTGAACTCCTCTAGTGTCCATAAAGGCGGGAGTGAATTGATGAAGAAAACCATCCTTAACAGTTTCTAAAAACCTGTCTCCCTCATGATTTGACGTGAAAATTTCCCAATCTCTATGCCTAAAATCAAAATCTCCCATAATTATAAACTCGATAACAGTTGAATTTTTTTATCTCCCTGTAGAGTTTCTCACTGTTTTCATCAGTATCATTTGATGGTCTGTAACAAATTCCCACTAAAAGCCTTTTCCATTTACATCCACAAATAGAAACCCAAACAGACTAAATCTCCTTGCTATTGTCTTTGATATGCTAAACTTTAACTGACTGTTACTCACATTTTACATATAAAGCTACTTGTCTCCCTCTTTTTAGTTCACTATCTCTATCTCAAAGAAATTTCTGTCATAAAGTTCTCTACATTTAGCCAAGTTTCAGTTATTCCCATTATATCAAAATCCTCTATTCTGACCAGTGCTCTAAAGGAATGCGTTTTACTTCATATACTTTTAGCACTACAATAATAACAGTTTAACTTACCATTAAAGATACCTTGTTCCACACCATACCCCTCTCTACGTCGTTTTTTCTTCATTATGTCTCCGTTATCCTTACAGTTGTGTTAACAGCTCTTGCAAACAAGCCAACACTTACCCTATTTAAATGTAAACTATCCGTTCCAAAAAGTATATTTGTTCTTTTAGCTTTTACGTGTCCCTCATAAGATATTGTGGACACAGACTTTGTTAAAAAAAAAAGAGACCTAACATACTGCAGGTTTAAGCCTTAATTTTAAAAAAGACCCTCATAAGATATTGTGGACCTAAACTTTATTTTAAAAAACTAGTTTCCTAAGTAAGCTCCATCAAATAATTAAACAGCTTAGACCTAGAGAAGATAGAACTGGCTTAAAAAAACGTCCTTTAGGAAGACTTGATGGCTGCAATTGTGAATAGCAACAAATAAAAGTGATTGGTTTAGAAAAAGAGTAATCACAGAAAGGTTATTAGAAAATAAATATCATGTAGTCAAAGACTGTAAAAAGGAAAGAAAACATATTAACAATGTGGTAAATTTAAGAGAAAAGTTATTCATTAAAGGTAAGTAAGAAGGTATTATCAGTCAGAGGCCCGGCATGGCCAGGTGGTTAGGGCGCTTGACTCGCAATATCAGGGTCGCTGGCTTGAATACTCGTCACACCAAACA